GCGCCTGGCACATGCGCAGGATCGCCGCTGAAGTGGTCCTCGCCTGTGATAAGGTGTCTCCACTGAGCGCCTGGCCAGAGGAGAGCGACCTATCCAGGGCCCCCGTGATGAAGGCCATGTTATTCGCCACAGCAACGACCTGTGCCGCATTGGCGTAACATCTGTCCAGCATAGCCAAAGACGTCCTGTCCCGCTCGGAGGGAAGGAGAGGTCTGGTGCCGGGCCACACGGATGCGGAGGGGTGCAGGGCCATGCGGACCGAATCCTCGATGTCCGGGACCCCGCCGGTCCAGGACCAGTCCTGCACGCTGCAGTACATGCCGTAGCCCAAAGCGGGCCTCTTGGCCGCTAGGGGCTTTGGCCACTCACGTGCCGCGTAATGGACGATCGGGTCCATCCGCGGGCACAACGTGGGCTGTGTCCTCCTCCTCCCTCGAGTGGTGGCGTAACCAGAGGTGAAGTCCTCCACCCTCTGGGTTGGCTGCGGTGGCAGGGGGGCATCCATGATGGCCGCCGCAGAGGAGTAGAGCCCAGGCATGTGGTCCAGTGGGAAGCGGTCCGGCTCCGGGTTCGACACCACCTCGTCCAGCGTGAGGAGAGAGCCGACCTCCGAAACCTCTCCGTCCTCACAGTCACCCTACTCCGCGGGCACGGGTGGAAGGTCGAGTGGGGCCCAGTCAGTCTCAGACTCCTCGTCCTGAGAGGAGTCCGGACGGGGCGCTGCAGCGGCGAGGTACGCACGCCTGCGTTCGCTCTCCTCCCTGTTTTACTGCCACATTGTCTCCATGTAAACTCAGCCTTACTTTCCACCCTAGTGCCCTGCTCCATTTGCAACACTGGCAAATAAAACAAAGGTTCTCTTATTAATAGTAATTGGACAAAATTATAAATATGTGGAGTTTTTTTCTGTATTGATAGAAATGTAACCGCTCATTCATCACAAGTGGACCATCATAGAGCAGGTTTAAAAAGATCCAGATAAGTTGGTGTAATCATGTTCATATTTATAACACAGTTGCGTTTTTCAAAAAATATAGTTCAACATTACGTCCGGACTTTTCAAAAGGAAACCCCATTGTTTGAATGACCCATTACTTTCACTAGCAGTGACAAGAAGTGACACTAAAATATAATTAAATGTTATGTTTTGGAGAAGAATAACAGCCAATAGAATGTCCCAAAAGACAGAAATATCTAATCTTTCTAAATAATTCACACAAAACCTTCCGTTGGGCGCTGCTCCGTGCTTTGATTTAATTATGGATGAGTTTATGCATACTGTCCTACTCCGTGTCTATCACCACGTTTCAAACTGCACAGTGTTTATGTCAGAAACCGGAGGTGGAAGACCTTATTTAAAGTTTTTGAATCGTATGACTCGTAAAACCAGTTGTAAAGATAAGGTCTGTAAGTCGGATGTGCTGTGCCTAAACAGTCCTGGCTTATTACTTGGGTAAAAGTAAAGTGCACTAAAATGCAATCCTTCTGTCTTTGGGTATTGGGTGTCTTTAAAAGAAAGTCTGGATCGCGATGGAGATTTTGATCAACTTCAAAATCTAATCATTTGTTCCTTGCACCATTTACAAAATGTGTTTTAGTAAGTTTGTCATTACTTTTTAAAATAGCTGAGCCTTGGTGCGTCAACAGAACGTCACCCTTTGGCAACAGTAAAAATAGTTCAAGCGGTGTTGGTTCAAATATATTCTCGACATCTGCCTACAGGTTCTGTTATAAAAGGTGGACTTTTCATTTCCACTTTTTATTTTTATACAAAAAAATAAAAGGTGGAATGTACAACTTTGATTCCACTTTATAATACAAGTGACTCTTTTGAGAACAAATCAACAAATCGGGAGACAAAATTGTGTAAAATCTGACAAATTAGTCTCATAAAGAACTAAACAAAATCATACCATGTTTCAGCAAAAAATTCAGTTTTCACGCAGTCACAGGTGGAGGAAAGAAGACATTTATTTATATTGCACATTTCATGGAGGACAACAACAAAGTAAATAATTTGCAATTAAAACTGAAGTGTGATTTTTTTTTATCAAGAAAAATAACAAACAAAATCATAATATTAGTGACACACAGACACACCCAGGTTACAGTATAAAGTTCAGAGCGCCACAGGCTCAGTGTAAGAGGAGACTGAGGAGCAGAGAGAAGAATTTCACACACGACCATCCAGCGTTCAGTTTCCTCAGACCAGATCAGACCTACTCCACATGGATAACAAGCTTATGAATGAAAACATCTAATGGAACCGAACCTCAGCCCTGAACATCCTGGTTAAATAAAGGTTGATGTCTGATATAGCAGTGAAACTTATGCATTTCTCAATTTACCAGGACTGCGGCTGCATTTAGTTTACTATTTTAAACCAATCATTGCTATTAATACGCTTCCTCTCTGATACAGTTCTACTACGACTGTGGCCTATACAGGATCTCCAACCTTTTACAATTTGAGAGCTACTGTTATGAATCAGAAGAGGCAGAGAGCTACTCTAAATAAAAACTACGAGACACATGAAAAACACATGTAAAATATACTGTAATACTGTATAACCGCTATATTTATACTTATATGTATTGACTCAAAATGTCATGTATTACATTTTAAATCCTTCGGGGAGCTACCTGGAAGGGGTTAGCGAGCTACTGGTACTATATCATTTATATGAAATCAAATTGCTGCAAAAGTGTTAAAATTACAGTCCCCAAACATCAGTGAAAGTTACTTGAGACCTTTTTACACATATTTGACCACTATAAGGGTTTACTTGTTTGGGAAGTTAAAGCTGAGATTTCTAACTTATTTTGTTCATAATTAATACAGGTGGTTCGTCTCAACAGAAAAAGTCTTAGTTAACGTAAAATGTTGTGAACAAGTCAGACCACAACTCCTTAACTCTTTGGGATGAGGGCTGAGTCAGGGTGGTCCTCTCCTTTTCACTTGTTGATCTAAATGAGAGGCCAAAAATACATGCAACTAGTGATACAGCCAGACAGTTTTATCAATAAGTGGCTTGAATGTTACTCCAGTTTTAAACTATACAGCTAAGGAATTCATAGTTGTCCAAATTTCTACATATACACGACTTGAATTAAGTGGCGCCCGTGGTAAGTCTTCAGCCTACGTGCATCTTGTGAGGATTAACTGCTTTGGTGTCAGTGGCGTGTGCATGACAGAAAGGTCAGAACACACAGTGAAAGTCAGCTGAGCCCGTCTAAATAAAGGATTTACATGTAACCTTCAAACAGTTGCTCCTGTGCCAGATGACCCATTAGCAGAATTAACAGAAGGGAGACCGCGAAAACACAAGTGGTGTGTCTTGTTAGCGGTTTATATGTTATCTTGGCTCTTTCCTCATAGCAAACAGGGGGAAGGCCAGTGAACTTTGAATTGGTATTAGACATAACCCAGAATTACACATGGTCAGAGTCCTGTGTTGACCTCAAAGAAGTGGGTTAGTTTAACTCCAAGCTCTTAGAGTAAATGTTTGATATAGGAGGCACAGAATCTGAAAGAAGATTTTTAAATGTCAAACCAAAGGAAAGAACTATCGCATTTCACAGACATGTACAGAGCATGTAAGGAAACGCATTAACAGGCAAACACATCTAGAGCCTACTGTAGGCCTCTACAGGACAATTTAACCATTAGCAAAATTCTCTTTTAATAATGACAAATTGTAATGTGTAAGCTAGTCATAGAAGTCCTTATATTTAAAATCAGTAAACAACTTAATTATAATATATTCTTAGCTCAGTCTTAAACATGACCGGAAGCCATTTTTAATTATTCAAAATAAGCCAGTCGATGACTAAACTTGCATTGACATAACTTGCATGTTTGCACATTTCTTTCTTTTGCACAATCTGAGTGTCTCTATCCATGCCAATGTGACATGTAAATTTCTCCTTTGTGAGATAAATAAAGCACATCTTATCTCAATACTGGGTCCTGGCCTTTCTATGCCTTTCCATTCAGATTAGAATTCATAAGCATACACTGTCCCAATCAATATTAATAACCATGGTCCAGCCATCATTCCCTCAAGGGGGAACTAGTGCAGTCTCTGGGGGATGAGCCACAAATGTAAGCATTTATCTCTGCTCAAAAAATATGAAGCAATTTAACATACTCAACGTTTCATATTGTACATTTTGTGTTAAGATGCGAATTAATCACACTTTAAAAACAAAATCCCAGCTCCCATTACTTATGCTTAGCCAAGAATCGTGCAGCTCAATGCCCAGCAGACCGCAGTGTTACGCAACAGCACTTTTAGACTGCTTTGACCTAGAAACGCTTGTGCCTTACAGATCAGCATCAACAAAATATGTTTGTAAAACTGGTTTATTTCATAGTTAATAATCAACATTCATTACATTCAAAAGTATTACAATTTGCACAATCCTGTTACAACTTTACATATTAACAAAAATAAGACGTTTAGTACAATGTGCACGGGGACGTTTAAAAAATATGACCGTCAAAGCTTTGTATAGTACTTCACATTTTGTATCGTATCGCAGTGAAAAAGGCACAGTTATAATTAATACGACGTAATGTTACTCATGCACGGTCCCATGAGTTAAAAGCAGCGATATAGCGTCACAGTTGAGTGGTAAACAAACACACAATTACCTGATAAATTACTCGGGTCATAAAAAGTATATGGACGGTTATTGCTGGGTCGTTGTCATGTTAAAAAGTGAACTATGTGCGTACACACTGATAAGAGGGTATCAAGGGGCATAGGTAGAATTAAATAAAAAAAAAACACATTGCATTCCGTTTGCAATGAAAATACACGGAAACAGTACAAAATTCCGCGATGGCAGTCTGTCTCGGCTGTACAACAATTTGACTACATTCTGTCCATGTTTCAATCCAGGAGAAAGCTTTACAGACAGGAAATACAGTTGTGCAAAATGATTTAACCGCAGCCTTTTATCAGCAATGCAAAACGGTTTCAATGTTATTTGAATCTAAAAACCATGCAGGAGGAGAAAGCTGACATCAAAAGAGAAGGTATTGCACGGCTCTCCCCAAACCTCAAAAGCTGCGAATGAAAAGAGAAACAAATTATACAAGGCTTTTTAATATACAATGAATTATATAAGATAGTAAAAACAAAGTACATATTGTCTTCATCATCTTATGAATTCAAATGTCTCTATAAGTAACTGCACTTCTCAATAGACATAGAATATATAATGTAAAACGTTTAATTTAAAAAAGGGGAAGGAAGTCTATCACTGCAGTGATAAAGGCTTGTGTCAATAAACGAATGTTAAACATACAAAAACTGCAAAAAAATGAATGTAGTTCAATAGCTTATTATTCTGATTGAATAAAAGAGTAAGTATTTATTTCAAACTTATTAAACTCCAACATGTAAAACAAGCAACAATTTGGCTCCAACTCATCAACCTCGGCCTTTTCACAGATTTGGTCTGTACCTTGTGCATTTTGTCAACAGCTCAATGTTTCCTTTGGCTTGATGCCATGCTGTGAAACAGGTTATGCCATAACAGCTTTGTGGAGAAGGACTAGTTGCAGATGTCCCAACCATATAATAAAACTAATCACCATTATCAACCACGTCATTGTTCAAGTTTTGTGTTTGTGCATTTTTCCCATAGACTAAATATAAATTCCCCCCCCCACACACACAACATTTTGCAGTAGACCGCACCAACTTCAAAATACTTTTTTTTTTTGATTGTGTGAAAAGTGCATTGCATTACACCTCAAAACAACTCACGACCATAGACTGTAGAAAGTATTGTCTTAACTGACCTGATTATGATCCTGACGTTATTAGTATTATATTGTCTCGTAAATCCAGATATGATCTTAATGACTGACTGATGTATTAAAGCAAAAACATTTAAGTCCAAAGTGATGAGTGTGGCATGAGCAGCTACAGAGTAAGAAGTCTTCATTTTACAGTGAAGAAACAATGTAGAAGCATAATATATTACTCCTCTATAGAGTTTAATCGAGCTAGCAGGTTAGCACTTTGCATCCTACATACAGTCTATGCTCACAACCCCCACTTTTGTGATTGCTGCATCTTTCAGTAGCCAGTGTGTACTTGATGTTGTGTTTGCCATTACTCACTTGTCTCACAGGATCCCCCACCACTTGTACACCAGCATCTCCTCTCCGCAGCCGGTGAACAGCAGTCGATTACCGCACTCCTCCCAGCGGCAAACCTCTCCCTTCTCCAACACCACAAACTTCCACTCCACATGGCTGTCGACGGGCAGGCCAACCACACAGCTCCAGAATCCGTCCTCCGATTTCTCCAAGGGAACAACGGCCTTCCAGGCCCCTAGTTCCTGCTGGTCTCCGGTCACTGCCACGGTCTGGTCGCTCGAAAGTGGCAAGTAGTGCACACGAAAGGTCACGTTGACGTTTTGGGGCATGGGTTGGACGGCTAAGACCTTTTTCGCATTGTCCGCCGAGTCATCCGTGATTGATGCTTGAGGTGGTGGTTCAATTTCCACTGAACCTTGTCCGTCCTTGTTGGAGATTGAGGAGCTTGTCGCAGTCATCCATGGAAGCATTTGATAACTGCCATCGATGATCCATTCATTATGATCCATTGTAGCTTCCATGATGCTTATATCAGTTTTTTCAGAGTCCGCTTTCTCTTCCTTGTTGACGGCACCCGCATGCTTCTTTACATTATCCACCGATTTAACCTCTACTTGTGTCGTGTCAACACTAACGCTCGTAATATTCTGTACAACTTCCAGCATGGTGTTTTCCATCGCTTCCTGGTAACCGTCTTCAATTTCACTCCCAAACGAATCTTCATTAGTCACCAACGACTCGTCACTTATGTCTTCGTATTCAAACTGCAAGTCAGGACGTTGCACTGTCGTCACCTCGTCAGTCGCTGTGCAAACTTCATTGCTATGTGTAACCTTTTCTTCCTGGAACATATTTAAATCCGCCTCCAAATCACCTACAGGTTTACCAACTTCTTCACTTGCTTCCTCCGTCTCAGGGCTAACTGTCATGCTATAAATCCCACTTTCCAAACTATGAGATGACACGCAAGTTTCACGTTTGGTTTTCTCCGCCGGCTTCATAGCTGCGCCCTCGTCTCGGCCGAAATCTAGGGCAACACTTGTCAAATCAGATCTCTTGTTCGTGTGAGTGGACGTGTCTTCCGTTTGTTCATTAGCTGCAACTGTGTCAGAGCTGGTCACTACAGAGAATTCGTCATCAGCAGAAGTTCTTTTATCTTCATTGCGATTGTGACATTGAGAATTAGAATTGAGTTCCAAACGAGAGCTTATGCAATCAACGTCTTCATCGTCAGAAAGTTCTACAGCTGAAACACTAGACTCCAAAGTCCGACAAACAATAACTACTTTACAACCGGTCTTTTCAATGTGACTTGAAACACCATTGTGAGAGTCTGCAGACATTGCAGGTTCTTCTGTTTGTGCTTGTCTTGACGTAATTTCTAAGACTTCTGCTCTGTCGCATACTTTTAGTTCTGACCGATTGTCCGCTGGGTTCACAACCTCAACTTTGGATTGTTCGTTATCTGTAGCCATTTCTGAAGCTTCACATTGATTAGGCCCCCCCGACGTTGCCAGATTTTCCACATTTTCTGTCTTGGTCTCGGTTAGATACTCACGCTCCACTTTCTCAACATCATTTACCGCTATGGCCACTTGACATAAATCAGTACTTGTCTTTCCTACATCTACATCGAAGCTACAATTTTCTAGCTCGACAGCTTTTGAAATAGGATCTTTGGCAAAATCATTATCAATACTATCTTTGTCTGGGACCAAGTCTACAGATACAGTCTCATCGATTTGCACAGACTTGACATCTACCACAGGTCGTTCATTGAGACTTGTTTCAGCTGAAGGTATGGACACATTAAAGGTTTCTTGAGGTCCCTGAGTTTTTTCTTCAAATCCGTTAATATTCTGGACAAGAGGATCTGCTGTAACTGTTGGCACGTCAATACTTTCAACATTTATGTGTGAGAAACTGTCGGAAGCTCCATTAGTCAGGTCTTTTTGGTTCCCACTCTCAAGTATTTTTTCTTTGTCCACCTCCAAGCTGCGCACTGCGTTCACCACTTCCTCTGTTATTTGAGCTGCCATATTGGAACAAAATACAACTTCTTTACTCCCTTGTGTGCAAACTTTAACCACATCTTTGTCAATACCGGGAGGGTCTACATTTGCTTGAATACAATCACTGTCCTGAGCTGGCTGGACACAAAGTTGTTCTGGTCTGGCGTCTTCCATATGCATCGTCTTCTGTCTGACCTCTATGTATGCGTCGGCCACGATTTGCTCCACAATGCAATCTATTTTATTGTTTATTGTTGCAGTTGGCATTTCAAGTGTATCAGTATCCGCCCCCTGGTCAGCTTGCGTACTTTCATTGCACAATCCATGGCAAAGCGAGGTTTCAGTTTCCAAATGTTGAGTAATTGCATCTGCTTTCTGAGAGTTACAGGACGTTGTGGACTCTGTCGTGCTTTGGATTTCTACTTTTACATCAGCAGGGACATCAGACGGACTGGTTTCCTCAAGAAAAAGCTCTGGTATCGGATTAGGAATAGATTCAGGCTGTGCAAATCCGTCTACCTGCCTTGAATCAATACTTTCAACTTTAACACCATCATTTGAAAGGTTTTCCTTGCACGTTGGGAGCGTTTCAAGCGCGTCATTTTGGTCGCTTAAATTGTCAGCGTAGGTTTTCTGAGCTTGGGATGAGTCTTTTGGACGTGGCTGATCTTGCAAACACGCGTCGTCTGGCAGTATGGTTTCAATTTCAACATTTTCAGCCGTTTCTAGTTTGACTGCACTCCCACCCACTGCCGTGCTGATGTTAAGGGAATGTGAAATCACCTCTGTGTGTATTGACCTATTGATGTTTTCACCGAGAGACTCTTTCTCAATGTCTTTGGGGCAAGAGCTCACGTCCTTATCAGATTGGACTTCAGTTGAGTGATGCGATTGCTCAGGAGGATAATGTCCACTCTGATCAATAGGCGCTTCTAGCTTTTGAGACTCTGGAGATGCACTTTCTTGACCCTCTGGAGACACGTTTGTGATATGTGTAGTTTCTGAAGTTTTAAAATGAACATCTTTAGTCTCCTCAAGCGTAGATGGTTCAGTCTCACTTTTTGGGAAAGCGACAAGTTCCTCCTTTAACTCGTCGCAGCCCGGTTCGTCTGCTCGTTTGTCGTTATTCAGACTCCTGGATATGCATTGTCCCACGTTTATATCATTTGCCTGATCCAGCGTCACATGATCTTTCTGAAGAGCTGTTGAGTGGTTTTCTTTCACCGAAACAGAACTAGTGTTGCTCCCAGGAGTGGAGTCAAGAGGTTGCGAGTTTGTTTCTTTTCTGTCGTCTACTTTAAAACTGGAGGTGGGGCAGAAGCACGACTGGCTGTTATAAGTGCGCCGAACAGTCTCCTCTTGTTTGTCTAGTGCAGAGTCTTCACACCTGAAGTACCCTTCTGACACGTCCTCATTAGATGTGGTAATGTCATCACTAGAGTCTGCTTCAGGCCTCTAAAAAAACAAAAAGAGTGGATTTTTTAAAAGGTACGTTTGGCAACACATAGTTTTCTAACATGAAGATATTCAAGTAGAATTGTCTTTCAAGTATTCATTCAGACTGACCTGAATGAATGTAAACAGACTAGGGCCATTTACATAACAAGTTATTGTGAGATTTCATAACACTTTTAAGCAACTTTTGTTAAAGTTAAACTCATCATTCTATCAATGTGCAGAAGCCAGTACTTTTCCCTTGCTTTGTCTATCTGAAGGCCAAGCTACATGGCACCGTGGAAGCTGCTGATTGGAGGTCTCCATGCCTCCGCTCTGTATAATACACTTGCATTCTGTGTTCGTGTTGTTCGTACCTACCATTGACAATAAAACATGTCTTCTGTCTGAATTAAAGACGCGATCCCAGACTTTGTCATCTTCTTCATTATAAATATGTACATTTCTATTTTGGCTGTTAAAACTACTGTGCATCTCTGACCCAAGCTACACTGAAGAGGAGTCAATTAAAAAAGCAGTAAAGAACAAAAAAAGTGGCTACTTTGTACTGCATTGATAAAAACATAAATAAGACATCTGAATAATTGACTTCACCTTACAAATGTGTAATTTGAACACGTTTCATCTTGTTTTGCCACCATGCCAAACAAAGGTTATATACCATTATATACTTATTTTATTTACCAACCTTATGTTTCTGATTGCCCACATCTTTGGTCAGCATATCCACATATTCCTCGTTGTAGCCTCTATTATCCAGGTTGTTCACAGCTTCTTCTGTGTAACTCTGCGTTCGGTGAGAATTCCACTCCCAGAAGAACGAATGTTGCGCTTTGTCAATGGCTGCGTCTTTGTCCGGTGCGTTGTGTTTGTGAAGCTTTCGCTCGGAGGCAGCTCTGCGCTGTCTGACTTGACCGTGCGACATCGACACGTGCTCGCCAGCATCGTCCAGAGAGCTCTCATCACTAACATCTGAAAAAAAGGAACAGAATGGAGTTTCACTAACGGGTTCTACTTGCATTAAACTGGCACTTAAACCATAGACTGTATATATTAACGGACAGAGTCACGCCTATCTCCGCCGTTCATAGGAGTTGGCCATGAAAAGTGCTTTCATGGAGCAATCCAAGATGGCCGCGAGTGGTCCCGCCCACAAGAAAATTGGGAAAAAACCCTGAACAAAACATTTTTCATTCTATATTTATATAGTAATATGGAAAACATTGGTAAAGATGTTAAAATGCTAATAATTATGGCTCACAGCTCTGTAAAAATTTCTAATAAAACATCCCTAAACATTGTTATTCCAAAATTTGACAAGCCATAATCATAAAAATTATTAAAGTCTTGACATATGTAAGTTTGCATGTGATGAGTCCATTATACATTGTTTTCACATTTTAAGTTTTCAAATCAAATTCCATTGAGACAAGCAGTTGCAAAGCATGAGTGAGTGTTCAACCTATCGGTTTGCTCTAAAGATGGGTTACTTGATTTTCAAACATGTTGTGGTTGAGTCAATATTGAACCAGTGTCAGTGATGTCAACATGCAGATGAAACAGGAATGCCTAGTTTCAAACCTTGTCTCACTTGTGAAATGCCTCAGAGCAATGTTTAACACACAATTACGGGATGTCTCTGTAGTGACAGTCTATGTGACAACGGATCGTCTATGTAGGCTCGTGTGAAATGTTCAGTCTGAACTCAGAATTCAGTGCAGGGGAAGGACTGACAAATAGAATGGTGACTCGTGTCTTAGTAATTAATCTTTTACTGACGTGGCTCCAAACCGTCCAGAATGAAAAACAATGACTTTTTGCTATAAATATGTGTGTGTGTGTGTTAGAAAAGTAAAGAAAAGAAAAATGAAGAAATTCACTTATTTCTAAATGCAATTTTTCAGTGCATAGTTAATAAAATAAAATTGGACAGCATGACGATATTTCATATTTTTTGAAGACTAAATCTCACTCTTAGGCATTAACCAACTTTCAAACCACAATAGAATGGTTTAATCAAATCCGACTGATAATGTCCTAGTTTGCTTCTACTCACAATCACATGCATGTTTGGACTCTGGCATATCTTTAGATGAGCTTCAGAAAGAACACACAGCAGGACCACCCTCACTCAACCCAGACAGTCAAATAGAAACCCACTGGGCTCTTTCTTTAAAGTATACAAACGATTACATGCTTTCTAATAAGATAAAGACTGTGTAGTGGTCTGATTTGTTAAAGGTAGGTAGCTTGGTCTAAGTTAGGTAGCTCAGGTTTAAACAAGTCACAGTCGTAAACGTGATCACTGCAGGCCTGTAGCAACATTTGACACATGTAACCACTTATGCCGGCGCCGACCTGATTTATGGCAAGCAACTTGTCAACACATGATATACTCCACCTGGATATGCTTTTATGTTGTGTGTGTATCAATACCTAGCAACATTTAACAGGCTCAGCTTCATCTCTGGATCCGTTTACACAAGTTTGGCTTCCAGCGTTGAGTGGGGCCTGCACTTTCAGAGCGAGAAATGAGAGCGCATGTGGTTGTATTTTTATCCCAGGGCTGCAACACTGGAACTGGCAGGCTGCTGCAAATAGCATTTACACTACACGGCTAAATAATTTCAAACTGACAAAGAGGTTACGCATGGGATAACAATGACGGTTTCATTTACCCCCTGTTCAATTTAATGCTCTTTAATGTGCATTTTCTGCTGTGTTTAAAGCCTTAAAACCCTGGATGGAGACATCTGGGTAAACTAAATGGCTTTTAAATTAGTTTTGTTGAAAATTTAAAACAAAGTATTCCGTAAGCTGGCCTATCACATTGAGTAGAAAGCTAATGCCACACTTTGGAACATTCTATTTGGAGACAGAGTACTCATGTATTAAAGAAGATGATAGCCAAGAGAACAACATAATCTCAGTACAAACCAGGTTTTGAAGGTTTACTAATGTTGAGGAAGTATAGTGTCCCAAAGTTGCCTTTTTTAACCAAAAATGCTAAATGGAAATTCTCAAGTCATGTTTTAGCCATTTATGAGCTGGCGTATCTAACCACCCCTGTATACAAAAAAAGTTACATTTTGTGAGAGAATAAAACTAACAAACTGTCTTTATCTTCTAGTTTTAGTCACTATTTGACGCTTTGGGCTAAGAGCTGATGGTCCTTTCCTTTTCGCGTTTCTGGTGAAAAATACATACTGGACAATTAATGATGAAACCAAATTGTTTTAAGAACCAGGAACTGTTAATGTTGTTTTTAATAGCCCGCATAAAACATTTGTTGTGGTTTGAAAGTTACGTACCCCTGCTTTACATTAGATAACATATTATATTTCCAGTCTGACCTTCATGTTTTGACGTGATCTTGGTCTGGACTATTCCATCTGTATTTACACGATTCCAGCCCTTAATTATTAACACACTCGCAGCCTGATCGCCTGCAGCAGGTCCTGGCTGATAAACAAAAACCATAATTTTACCTGTTGACCCACCACCGAGCGCTTCGTCTCTGCTCCCCGCGCTGGAGCCTCGACGTTCGGCCACAGCAGCTCTCCTCCTCCGCTTGTTCCTCACGCGTTTGAAGAATATGAACCCGGCCACCACGCACCCAATCCCCGCCAGAGTCAGCAGCACAGCGGGTCCGTGTCTCGCAATCACGCAAAACAACGACGCCAGATCAATGCGCCTCTCCATGGCCACTGTCTTTTTCAGCGGCATGGCGACCCCAGAGATGCCCGGGGAAGGTGCGCAGGAGCCCGGGTTGGTTTTGGGGTGAATGTGTGGGAGGATTTGGGATGTGGAACGCTGCTGCTGTTGTTGTTGCGTGTTGTGAGTTCCAGCTCGGACAACCTGCACTGTGTAGCTGGAGGGAGGGCAGTGCTACGTGCGTGCGCTCTTCTTGCTGCGCAGAGACGCGGCTGCTGCAAACTGGCGCAGGTGCGTCCATATACCCCTGACTGCAGTCCGCAGATCGGGGCGGAGCTCAACGTGGGCGGAGTCAAACGTTTGACTCCGCCCACCGCGGAAGCTTCTTTTTTTTTTCTTTTTTTTAACGGAAGCGTTTTTTTTTTTCATTTTACCCTGATTTTAATCTTGATCAAGGGTAAAATCATCAAGTTGATGATTTAAAAAAATAATTAATATTTATCGGTCCCGATATGCTTTTCATTCTTCTACTCCTTTGTATATTATGTATATTTATAAACTATTTTTGGTACCATTATTTATTATTGCACCTGATTCTGACCGATTCTGATGTTACACCTAAGCTTGTAATAATATAAAAAGCTTTTGTATGGGACACCATTCATTGTTATTTATATCAGGATCACATCTGGTGTCAAAATGTAAATCTTTGGTAAAACCTGTTTCTTTTTGTCTCAAATGTAAATACCAGCTTACATAATAGTAAGGTTACATAATATTCTACATGCATTCTTGTCTCATAAAATAAATGATACTAATATAATAGTAATATGATTACATTTCCATGAGCCCTCACAACTTTACACACAACTTTTTAATGAGGTTCAGCTCCCACTGAACTAGAACAGTGAAGTGAAATCAACATTTAATATCAGGCTTCTACTTTCAACTTGTCAAAAGCCTTATTTTTTTACTGTCCATTATTTTTTATCCATGCTGCCTTCATTTAAAAAAATAAAAATTCTTATATAAATGTATCCACTCAATTATATCAGCTACATTAAGGAGACAGAGACTGAATTGTGCCACTGACACTTCTGAAAACATGCCGAGGTTTGAGGTGGGGTAGCGAGACAGTGGACCCAAGGATGCAGACTTGATGTTTCAAAAAGGTAAATTTTATAACACAAACAAAAGCCATAACCGGAACACAGGTATAAAAAAAGTACAAACAAAATCACCAAAAACCACACTAGGAGAACCAAAACAAAGTGAAAATGCAAAGAAATGCAGCATGTGTGAGCAGAAAATTATCTCATTTCAAAGCCGGAAAACACCTGCAGCTGCCTTTTGTCCATCATTTCCTTGCAGAACTCCTCATAGTCTGCCTGCAAACTAAACATGAACATGAACGGTTCACTGAGGTCTTCTTTATACTCTTCATCCAGGCCATCACACATGCGCAGCATTTCCACTGCCCTCAAGGAATCTTCCTTGTTCATGGTGATGACCTGGGGAAGGTAAAGTTTTCCCTTGAAGGATCTTGTGCCACACCACCTTGCTGCCGTTAAGGTGTCCATAAGCAGGGAATCCTCCTAATGAAAAATTAAGAAAATGAATATTAAAATAGAGGTTGAAGAAGGCAGCAAACAGTGAAATAAGAAAATCTCACAACGGGTAACATACTCCGTTCCCAGTTCCCACTTCCGGCAAGCTCTCAGCCTTTGCTAGAAAGGAAACAGATTATGGTTCTTAAAGGTATAATAACAATGCAAGTTCTAAAAAAGATCAGTAGCTTATTTTAAGTATACTGGTTTAATGAAAATTGAGAAATTACAGCAAAACCAGCTACGTCACATCCCATCTCTACAACCTTGGGGGTTGTGTACAATAATACTGTTTTGAACAATACCTGATGCTTCAGAGACAGATTCTGAAAGCCGAATACTTTTTGGAGGGACCACTTCCAGATCCTGAAATAAATGGGGGGGATTATGCTTTAGTCTGCAAGCAATAGTTTGACTACAGGACAAATTAATCAACTCTCACCTGTTTTCCTTTTTGCTTTCTCCGTCTTTTTCTTTCCTGCAATCTGGTTTCCTTAGACCTTGATGATGTAATGACAACATTAATTTACTATGAAAACATTCATGTTGGTCTGTTGACCGTGAGTATTTAAAAGGATCTGATTCAAAAGTGTGATCATGAGGGCACTTACGGCATGGGGAAGTTCTGTAGGAGGACAAGACACCACCATCTCCTAATTTGCAGCATGTTTTCCTTTGAAAAAAGAAAGGAAGATTCAAATATGTGTTCAGGAATGATAAGTTGTATACTAAGCGTAATGTGTCACAATTTTCACATACCTCTCTGAAGTCACAATTGGCCCCCATTACAATGTACAGCGTGTACTGTAAGTCAAGAGGTACTGGTTAATGGACTAATGTCATGCATATTTCCTCAGGATACAATTTTCCAATACATATAATGTGTTTTTAATGTAGCAAGCAAACATTTTACAGATAACAGCAAAGATATAACATACTGAATAGGTCTTACCATCAAAACAAACACGCCACAGTTGTTGGAGCACCCTTGCTTTGTTAGGCCCTGAGGTGTGAACAAGGTCTTTTAATAAAAGAATGGCAAGAAAATAGTAAATGTTAGCAAATACTATGAAGTAACGTCTCACCTGAACATCATTCACGCCAAGCTCCCTCCAGGGGCCAGGAGACAGGCTGTGAGCAATGTGTCTGTGCAAAGAGTAAGCAGAAGTAACTAAAAGTAACTGAACTAAAATCAACTTTTGATTCAAATGCATAAACACTTTGAACAAACCCTCATCAGTGCATTTTGAAAGCGATATTTCACCATTGATCAGTATGCTGATGTGTCTCTATATTAGAGGGGAAAACAATAGACATAAAAGGCACAGCAATTAGAAACACACGAGACAAAATATATGAAATAATTTTTCATTTCAAAAACAAATGTCATGTCATGGATGTTAACATGCAAGGAAGAGCAATATCAATTTCCTGCAGATTACTCAGATGTAAGTGTCAGATTGTCAAATGCTTATGAATGGTACCATTTCAAATATACTTAAATCACATATTAGCATATTGGCTTTATATTCTTACATTATTCTATATTCAACATGTAACAACGATTAAAAAAGTAACGTATTTTCCCCGCGAAAAGTATAATATTTCCCCCCCAAAAGTAATAACGATCACATAACATTTTCTCCCCAAAGGTATAATATTTTCCCAGTACGTCGTGCCGGATAAATATGAATCTAAAACCCAGAAAAGTCGTTTTTAAGTCCAGGTTTATATAATTTTCGCTGCAACAGTAATGCTAGGTATACTAGATTAGAAGTCCAACCGTGCAGAATGCAGATACATACAAGTATAACTTATTTTAAAATAAAAATAATGTTACCACCTTCCTTGTCGGTAACAAATATAGCAAAGTTGCACGTTAAAACAGAATGAAAAAACTGGCCTACAGTACCTCCATTCTGCCAGCTACTTCGCTCTTCTTCTCCTCTGCTTCTTCTCCTTCTCTGTCATACGGGCGGAGTCAAACGTTTGACTCCGCCCACGTTGAGCTCCGCCCCGATCTGCGGACTGCAGTCAGGGGTATATGGCTGCTTCTGCTGCTGCTGCTTTTCTGTCCTGGCCTGAACCCTCACCAGCCCAGCCCCCTGCTCCACTCTCAGCCCCTTCGGGGAGACACCTCGAGCTTCCACCCTCAGGACAGGGTTGTCCCTCTGGGTGTTGCCGGGACAGAGGTAAAAATGTGTCCTTATTCAGGTCAGGCCGTAGCAGCTCCTGGAGCAGATTGTGTCTGTCCACAGCAGACCACACAACAGGCCATAAGTCCTGGTACAGATTAATGGCAAAGAGGGGTCCACAAGAGCTCAACATCTTCAGTGGTTAGTCTCAGATCAGTGACGTATGTTCACTCTAGATACTTTGAGCAAGTGTCTTGTACTTAAAAAAAAGTGTCTTGTACTTTCTACTGGTGTCCACTAGGAGGAGCTGTTTCTCAAGATTTCACATGAAGTTTCCATCTAAATTTTACTCATTTAGAAACACATAAAATTACTTTTCAGGAATCATCTCTCACTCATTAGATTAGACTAGAATCAACTTTATTAAAGTAAAGCACTCATGTCAAGTATAATCATTTATATGTAGGAATATTGGCCAGATTCATGTTACATGTTCTGTATATCTGATCTACCCTTTCTGATCTGCTCTTGTATGCATTTGAAATACAACATTTTTATTTGACAGAGATGATGGTGGCAATTAACTAATTTACCTTTACAAACATTTATGGACATTGTCATCCCACTTATGGGTCAAAGGCTCACATTTGATAGTTTTTATTTGTTTGATTCTCGGTTCTGTTGTTGGAAAATCCTCCGAGACGACTGCTGTTGTAAATTAGGGCTATACAAACATACATTTCAGGATATGTAGTGATCATCAGGTGGAACTACTGTAGCCATATCTGCCCTGAGGTTGATTGATTGAAGCAATGCTGCCAGTGTCCGCCATCTGCCCCTTCAACCAGCGATCACTCATTCGCACGCGTACGGCACTTAATGGTTCTTACACAAGGTACAAAAACAACAATGACTATAAATATGTCAAATTTATATCATTCTGTTACCGCAGCACAAGAATCCATTATTAGCTGAACGTAATAATAAAATGTATGCAAATTACTACAAGGTAGGTCTATCATGCTGTCCTCTTGTGCCTTTCGGCTCAACTTCCAAACACATTAGTCAGCTTTCATTTACACGTTGAGGCCTGTATTGTCCGCCTTTCTTTCAAATGAAGTTGGCCACTCAGCTCAGTCACATTTGCCTCACAAATCACCCAAAGCATCGCATGCGTAGGTTTCGTAGATGGTTCCACAAAGCTACCATTTCTCTCGGGTTCCTTCGGTGCACCAGCAAAACCGACTTGTACGCACACGGATTGCCTCGTTGCGTATTGGGCAAATCGAAAGTCAAGAAACCTGGGTGGTGACTTGGTGCTACTCCGATTTTGTTTAAGCACATGCCGAGATACACGTCATCTATGGGGAAGAGAGAGATTTTATCAGACACCTCTTTTAACCGCAACGCCAAAGACCCGGAGTATACCACGCCACCTCCACCTGCGTAAGTTGGGTACGCGCCGTGGTAGAAACTTTCAGGTATAAAGTATTTTGTGGACGGGTCTCGGTTTGGTCTGGCGTTGTTTATGACTTCCCCAATGATCAAGTCCATGCCTTTGTCCGTTTCGTTCGCATAGACCTGCCACAGACTGTGCTCTTCCCATTGTTTGTTCAGGTAATCCATGAGAGCGTCCGTGCGCACGAATACATCATCATCGCCTTTGAACACAAAAACAGCTTTGGGGCAGTACTGCTCAAGCCATCGCCAGAATAGTACATCTTTCAGCGTCAGGTTGAAAAATGTATCTTTGAAATCCCACTGTAGAATATCCCCGTACTTCCTGCTTTCATCCCTCAGAAGAATGTCCATATCTAAATGCGGTTTGGACTCTTGTTTTCCGAGTAAGAAAACCGTTCGGACCAAACCTCCCCTGATGTTATACTCTCCGCTGACATGCCCACTGCGTCCCCATGTCTCGCGAATCGCTTGCCTGTTTTCGAAATTGGCCAGTTGTGATTTGATAGCCATTAGAAGCATAGGCGAATCTAAAGTTTCGTTGGTGTAGCAAAGGCCTGGCTGATTGATGATATATGGATACTCTCTGCAATGCATGGATGAGACAAAAGCTCTCATTTGGTCAGACATGCTATTGATTTTGTTCATAGGGGGGTGCAATCTTGTCTCGGCCGAACAATCGGACAAACAACCGGCAGGCAAATACACAATATTTTCTTTTCTTTCTCGAGGAATCCCACTCGCGTTCCCCCTCAGTATTGGATTGTAGAGACGATCGCGGCTGTGTTGTAAGCGGTTCCACAAGCCAGAGTCGACCAAGTGCAGGTTCCAAAAGGGGTTGAGGGGATGGGAGGACAATTTGGCAGAGTTCGGAGAGACCCCAGGTGCGATGAAGTGCACAGGGATTTTGGGAGGTGCGTAGGAGATAGTGACAAAGATGGTGACCAAGATGTACACAAAAAGGTGGCCGGTCATCATGAAAGGGAGCAGACACATGCAGAGAAGCCTCCCGTTGCATTTGCAAAATTTACCCATTTTTCTGTGGAAGATGAGACAGAAATTGGTTAATGTAACAGTGGAATTTCAGACTTTAAAACCACCCATGTCTTTATATTTTTTAGCTTTGAAAACAATTTGGTTCTATCACCAATTTTGGCCTCTGTCACATCTTTAGATCAGATTTTTCAGACAGAAAAGTAAAGAGAGGACCAGACGATCAGCTCACAGCACAATGCAAAAGTGAGTCCCAGGATTTCTCTATATTATGAATGATGTGTTTGCCTTATTCTGGACCGTGAGTCCTGGACCATGAGTCTGAAATAAACGTTGGATGATGATGATGATGATAACACAAACGCTAACATTTTCACTCATCGTTAGTAGTTGTCAAATTTGCTAACTTGTTTTCTTTTTTCAAATTATAAACGACAACAGAAACTTCTCCATCCCCCAGTTCTCTATAGAATGTATTTCCCTTGCCACAAATAGAATGTATTTGTGGCACTTATGGATGAGGTTCTTTATCCTCTCTGATAAATTACACAATATATGGCTTCATTCAGCTACCAACAATTACTGGGAAGAAAAGTGTATGTGTAACCATTAAGGATCACCAAAATATGGACAAAATCACTTTATCTCACCCAGGTGTTGTACATTATCAAGCACAACAACCATAAAATCATAAATAGGGGCCGGAGTGTCCAATTTGGAAACAGTTAGAAAATAATTACATTTATATTTAATTCGGTAAGCGCTTTTCAATCATAGCAAATATGAAAGGGTGAGAACTTTTTTTCTTTTTGAGGATAAAAACCTCAGTTTTTTCTCAAAGATAAAGTTGAATATGTCAAAAGTGGAAATCCAAATGAAGAGAAGATGGGCCGTTCAGTGGATGTTAAACTTTTTATTTTGGACCATAGAGTTACAGTGCCTTGCGAAAGTATTCGGCCCCCTTGAACCTTTCAACATTTCTCCACATTTCAGGCTTCAAACATAAAGATATAAAATTTTAATTTTTTGACATGAATCAACAACAAGTGGGACACAATCGTGAAGTGGAATGAAATTTGTTGGATAATTTAAACTTTTTTAACAAATAAAAAACTGAAAAGTGGGGTGTGCAATATTATTCGGCCCCTTTACTTTCAGTGCAGCAAACTCACTCCAGAAGTTCAGTGAGGATCTTTGAATGATCCAATGTTGTCCTAAATGACTGATGATGATAAATAGAATGCACCTGTGTGTAATCAAGTCTCCGTATAAATGCACCTGCTCTTTGATAGTCTCAGGGTTCTGTTTAAAGCTCAGAGAGAACCATGAAGACAAAGGAACACACCAGGCAGGTCCGAGATACTGTTGTGGAGAAGTTTAAAGCCGGATTTGGATACAAAAAGATTTCCCAAGCTTTAAACATCTCAAGGAGCACTGTGCAAGCAACTATATTGAAATGGAAGGAGTATCAGACCACTGCAAATCTACCAAGACCCGGCCGTCCCTCCAAACTTTCATTTCAAACAAGGAGAAGACAGATCAGAGATGCAGACAAGAGGCCCATGATCACTCTGGATGAACTGCAGATAACTACAGCTGAGGTGGGAATGGTGTGTTCAGGGTGATGAGCTGTGTTGCTTTTACGCCAAACATATCGTTTTGCATTGTGGCCAAAAAGTTCGATTTTGGTTTCATCTGACCAGAGCACCTTCTTCCACATGTTTGGTGTGTCTCCCAGGTGGCTTGTGGCAAACTCTAAGAGACTTTTTATGGATATTTTTGAGAAATGGCACTCTTCCATAAAGGCCAGATTTGTGCAGTGCACGACTGATTGTTGTCCTATGGACAGACTCTCCCACCTCAGCTGTAGTTATCTGCAGTTCATCCAGAGTGATCATGGGCCTCTTGGATGCATCTCTGATCAGTCTTCTCCTTGTTTGAGATGAAAGTTTGGAGGGACGGCCGGGTCTTGGTAGATTTGCAGTGGTCTGATACTCCTTCCATTTCAATATAATTGCTTGCACAGTGCTCCTTGAGATGTTTAAAGCTTGGGAAATCTTTTTTTCATCCAAATCCGGCTTTAAACTTCTCCACAACAGTATCTCGGACCTGCCTGGTGTGTTCCTTTGTCTTCATGGTTCTCTCTGCGCTTTAAACAGAACCCTGAGACTATCAAAGAGCAGGTGCATTTATACAGAGACTTGATTACACACAGGTGCATTCTATTTATCATCATCAGTCATTTAGGACAACATTGGATCATTCAAAGATCCTCACTGAACTTCTGGACTGAGTTTGCTGCACTGACTGTAAAGGGGCCGAATAATATTGCACGCCCCACTTTTCAGTTTTTTATTTGTTAAAAAAGTTTAAATTATCCAACAAATTTCATTCCACTTCACGATTGTGTCCCACTTGTTGTTGATTCATGACAAAAAATTAAAATTTTATATCTTTATGTTTGAAGACTGAAATGTGGCGAAATGTTGAAAGGTTCAAGGGGGCCGAATACTTTCGCAAGGCACTGTAATTCTTCATCAAGCCAAAACCTTGGGTGGTGAATTGTTAGATGTAGACCTTTCTTCAACCAGGTGATTTTCATAGTCTTTTTCAGGGGAGTTCACAGATGGGAGAAGTCCATTATATTTAAATGCATGTTTGTGGTAAGAGAAACCATAGAACTCAGAGAAAACTTACTCAAACACAGGGATAACATGCATAATCCAGGCCCTGCACAGCCCCAGGATTGAATCTTTAACTGCTGCACTTCTGTGTCACTGGATATTCATGCAAAATACCGGATATATTAAATACAGAACATTTGTAATGAGATCCTGCTGTATTCTAGAAAAACATTGCCACTCCTTCCAGTGTGAAGGTACGCAGACGGCCTGCCACTTAAGGCCATAATAAAGTTTTTCATCAGCCATTTACTGATTTATCAAGTACAAAATGGTTTCTTTACCAACGCCATTCGCATGAATTCCAATATTGACAAAACATGGATTACTTTGGGAGAGAACAGTATTTCTTGCAATCAGTTCATACCAAGTGACATTTCCTTCTTAATATTTAGTGAGTTGAATAAGCAGCTTCCATGGTTAATAGGAATCTAATTTATTGGTGGCAGCATAAGCCTTTTGAATAAAGCTTGCCAACCCAGAAATTTAGAATTGAATCAAAATATTAAAACTAATAGCACCTTTTATATAAATCAATGAATGATATTCATGTAATCTCATGTTACTGTATATAAATCTTTTCTAAAAGTGTACCTCTCCTCTGATTTTGAGATTATATTCTTTTGCAGCCATGGACCTTGCTTCAAAGTTTGCAATTGTGGCAGGCTTGGAAGCAACTAAACCAGGTCTAAAACAATGCCTAAACCATGACTCAAGAATTCTTTAAAGACTAAAAACTTACACAGCCTGAACTCCCCTGAAGTTCAACAATCAAACCAGATAAGGGTGATGAAACAGAACTGAAACGGCAAAAGAGCCACACCGCATTTGAACCACAAGGAAAAATTATAGACTTGCGTTACGACAAGGCACAGTCAACCCTGGAGAGGTTTTGTCTCCTTGGTGATAGTCCACAGGGGCCTATTATCTCTGCCTGTATCCACACCGCAGCCCTCAACTTGGCCCAGGTACGCAAACAAAACAATCAAACGTATATATCTATCTCCAGCTGTGTGGATGTAGGTCTATTTCGTTTCCGTGATTGAAACTGTTGTGAAAAAGTATATAGCCATTGTGTTTCGCATGTGTAAAACGGGCTAACAGGCTGCAATATCCTTTAATAATAGCTTGATGGCTGGACTGAAACTGGAATAACACAGGAGGCAAATCTTTCCAAATACATGAAATCCATCTAAACATGATGATTTCTTCCTTTGGCTATAATACTGTACAACAGATGTGTCTGAGCTGAACGAGCACTATTGTTTGTTAGATGGAAACGTTTACAGTTGATCATTTATGTACTTGTGTGTTGTATGGAAGTGTTTCTGCTGCTGGACACCTGAATATCAATAAAGTATCTACAGTATCTATCTATCTATTTATTTAATGGGATGTAATCAGACATACAGTTTGTATAATATGCCTGAAAACTAGGGTTCCTAACTTGTCTTGTAAACATAATATGTTGTGAACAAATCAGACCACAACATTCTGGTTTGTCCTATGAGAAAACATGTAATATTTTGCGCGTAAGAAAGAGCCCTTTGAGTCACTTTTGACTCTTTGAGCAGAGCACTGAGAGACTGAGCGAGTGATCATCTATTTTCACTGAAAGGAAGATCTAAATATTTGCCAGAGGCCAACAAATACAAGTGAAAACTAACCCTACTAAAGATTTGAGTACACAGTTCCATGCTGGTGGTTTGAAAGTTAGGTACCCCAGCTTTAAGGCATTATAAAAGTGGTCAAAGAAATATCTGTATACTTACAAATGATGGATGTAAAGCAGAAAATATGCCAGCAGCTCTCAGGTGAGTCTTAAAACGGCAATTGCTTGCATAAATT